TTTATAAGGGAAAAGGAAAGAAAAAAAAAACTCATGACCTTTATTTCCTCAGCAAGAAACAAGACACATAAGAAAAACAAGAGGTTTAATTCACTTATAAAATGTATGTTTGTGAGCTATGATGTAGTGTTTTTAGTTCAATTGTTGAGAGAATTTCTTGAAACCAATGGAAAAACAAAATACTTGTAAGGAAAAATAAAAGAATTTATGTAAGAAATACACCTGTTTATTTTCTTTTTAATTTATAATTTAAGAAAAAGTATGGAATAATTCTTTAGAGTGTTCTCCTTCTGGGGTTTGGAAAGCGTAGAGGCTGTCCATTGGAACTGCCATTTTATATATATTTAATGTCAGTTTTTGAGAGTTTCTTTACGAACATGACAGTCATGTTTCTTTAATCTTTGACTTTAGTCGCTGATAAAAGTGCATCCCTCTCTTCATTCTATTTATAATTAAACGAATAACAATAATTGATGGTGGGTCCGTTTCCCTTTAAATGTTTTTTGTTTTTTAACTGGCGTGGTATCTTTGAATTAATTGATGCCTACGTACTTGGTTTCCTAAACAGGCCTTGAGCTTTATTTTTTTTCCATGTAGTGTTAGTTTTTAGAAGAATTAGTTTTTAAAATCTTAGTATATTATACAATTGGATTGATTTTGATGTTTATCACACGTGTATTAATTATACATTCAATTCTTTAATAGTTAAAAAAATACAAAGAGTTAGCGACAGTATTTGTATCTTGTTTTTTCTAATTAAAAACTTGTATTGATTGATTTATTTATTTTAATTTGAATACTTTTTCTGTATTAGTTTTGTTGCTAGAATGCAAATAACACGGCTAATAATATTTTATTTTCAAAAAATTTCAAGGTCTAAATTTCCCCCATGTAATTTCCATAAAAAAAAAATAGTAAGTCTTCTATATCCATCATCTTCATGTGCCTAGCATTAACCTTTTTATTCATATTTTTTTCAAAAATAAATAAATAAACTTGACTTGGGGTCAACGTTTGAAGAAGGAATACAAGTTTCCGTTAATTACTTAGTTTTTTTCCAAAATGTTCCACTTTTGTTCTCCCTCTATTATTTTTTCTTTTAAAGATTTTATGTATAGTCTTGCATATTATTTTGAAATTTATTTGTTTTGAATTTAATATATAAATTATTTTAGTATGGATGATTTTATTTTTAAAAATAAAAAAAATTATATGCAAATAATATTTCTAATATGTGCAACATTGCATATTATTTTTTTATTTTTATTTTATTTTATTTAATTAATTTATAATGTGTGTATTGTTTTTATTATCGTTTGATCGAATAAAAAAATTATTTTAATTTGAATTTTTAAAAAATATAATTGTGTAAATGTCATGTTTTGTGAAATTAAATATTTTGATTTATACTTGTCTCTCGATTTTTTTAGTTTTTATTTTGAGTTATCATTTATGGTTTTTTTATTTATTAACACAACTAATTCTTGATTTATTTGACAATACTTTTATATAAATTTTTTAATTTTAACTTATGTTTTTTAAAATAAAAAATATATTAAAAAAATCTATATATAATTTTTTAATTAAACAAATTTAACTTGCGATGAAACTCTCATCAAATAACTAAGTCCATGTATTAAAATGAGTGGCACTTGATTAATACCAAAAACATGGACAAAAATTGATATGGACCCACACCACTTTGATTATTTTTCTATTGAAGTACTTGATAATCTAGTGTATGTACATAAATTTGTTTACATTGGTTTCTCTAATAAAAGTATATAAAAAAATATTCAATAAAACTATATTTTTATTAATAGATTTGAAACTAAAAAACTGTATATTTTCAAGCAACCATGAGGCAGCCATCCTTCCAAGAAAATCATTGTTACTAATAGAAATATTATAAACAAGATGTCCGGAATAGAAAATTCCAGCAAGAGTTTAGGTGAAATTCATGGAACAAGATAAGATTACGAACAAGATGAAATATTTTTTAATTTATTTGGTTTTTTAAATTAAAATAAAATATACCCCAAGCGTACGACCCCATCTAGTGGGAAAAATGCACGATGGCAATAATCTCATAGACCAAATGTGCAGATGTCAATGGACTCATAAATGCACGACGGTGATTGTCTGTCGAACCCATCCTGAGAAAAAAAAAATGCAACGATGGGAGGATTGCCACCATTTATAGTGATATTTTCACTCTTAGAGACATATAGTAGTTTAGGGAGTTTTATAAGGAAAGAAGATATTTTCGGAGTATAACATTTATAGTGATGCTTTTATTCAATTCATTTTTATTTTTTTTAGATGAACATGACTTTCTTAAGCTAGTCGTAGTATATAGATTTTTTTTAAAATAAAATATAGAAATATAATTCGCATATGAGTAAATACCTCCACAAATATAATTCCATTGAAAGTTGCGTCATGTATTAATCTAAGCTCCGTTGTTCATTAATTAATCGGTGATTGCAATATTCTAACACCGGAGATTTAATTTGCAAGCATTTAATTTTTTTGCAAACTAAATTGAAATTAAGACATATTAATTATCCATTCCCAAGCTTACAGGGCAATAGTCTCATGGACCCATCTCATAAAAAAAATCCTTGATAGCAATGGTCTCATGGACCATCCCATTGGCCTACATCGTGGAAAAATAAACCGGTAAATACTTTAAAAAGAAAAAGAAGAAATCTTATTGTCATGACAATGACATGAAATATTTTAGAAATAATATTATTTATGGTTTATTTTATAAACGATATTGTTTGATTTTGTCATTACCATCAAAATTAAGGCATGATTTTCCACACATTATTTTCATAAAGAACCACAATTTTAAAGACATAATTTTGATTTTTTTTAAAAAACAAAATATTAAAATAATATAATTTTAGATTAACTTTAGTTAATATAAAATAACTTGTCTGATGTATAACCCAAATTTTAATTCGAGTAGTAGGGCAATTTATGACCTTAACCCTCATCTGGGTATTAAATCTAATCATGTTTAATAACTTTGATTTTAATGAAAGAGACATTTTTAGGAAAAATGTCATACATGACACATTAATTCTCATCCAAATTAAAACATTCACATATAATAGTTATTAATATTTATTTTTAATATATATATATAATGAAAGATTTTAATAATTGATTAATATTATTAAATCATATATGTTTTATGGTTTTTTTTTTACCATTTAATATTGAATTTGTTTATCCCAATCTCATAATTCAAGTCATAAACTTAAACTTAATGTGTTCATGTGTTAGGTCGTGTTTTTTTAATATATATATATATATATTATGTTATTACTTCCTCCCCTGTCTTGTATATACTGTCCTCTGTTTTTATTTTATGCTAGCTATAGCCTCTAAATTTGGCTCTGGCACCTTTTTATAATAATACTCAACTATTATTAAAAAAAGAAGAAGCAGAAATAACTCGACAATCTCTCAAATGTGCAAAGGAGTGTTTGACGTGCTAATGATATAGAGCCTTCCTTCTCTCCTTCTGGTCAATCGTCTTGGAGAGCCTATGTTCTTGCCTTGATCAAGACTCCTATCTTATCTTAGTTATTCAACACGTATGAAGAAATTTCTCCAAATCATTTCTTGACATAACATCTCACCCACCCCTCAGCCCTTTGTCAAGTCCTCCGTCACTCTCTAAATTATTCTATAACATCTCATATACAGTTTCATAAAGGTCTGAGGAATCAAACAAAGAGGGCGATGAATGGGCATCAGTCTTGAAACCACAATGATCCAATGGACGAGAGCCGCTAGTGGAGAAGGATTCATGCATCTCTGTTTTTGTGTATTTCTGATCATGCTCTTTTCACTGTACAACAGAACTTTTACCTTTTCAATTTTTCCTCTTAGACGCTCTTCAATCAATGGAAAGAGGAAACACCACAGAAAGGTATAAACGGACAAGAAATTCAATGCTCACACTTTGAATTTTAATTTGCATGTTTCAGGTCATTGACAGCTATACATTAAAATTACGGAGTAAAATCTCATTTATCAAGATGGCCTAAATCGGGGATCAAAAACTTGATGGATAGATTAATGTTAAATAGAAATTATCTGTATCCAGAGAAGATACAGAGATGAGTTGAAACTTGTTAATTCATGTTAAAAAGATAGAGAGCCTAATTCACCTTAAAAAGATACAGAGTCCCTGAGTTATAGCAAAGACATATATTTTAGAGAAGGAAGTACTCAAGGGTTTTAAGGGAGTTTTCTCTATGAAAAAAAATTACATAAACAACTTTTAGAAGAGCGCAAATTCTCAATTAATTAATTAATTATAAGCACTACATTTAAAATTTAGAAAAAATAAATCTATGATTTTTTTTATATATAAATTGATTTTATTGTTATTTTTTTACCATTCCATATATACCTTAAGTAAACCTTACTTTTAATTATTTCGATAAATAAAACATTTATTTTTAATATTTTATTAGTTTTTTCTTAATTTTTTATGATAATTGAGGAATATATATATATATATATATATATCATCCCTTCTCAAGCTTAAAATTAAAGCATGATTTTTTAGACGTGATTTCCATAAAGATAGAAGGGAGGGCTCCGTATCCATCATCTTCATGGAAAGTGAGCTGGCCAGCGTCAACCTTTTATTCATGTTTTTCCACAGAAGACTTTGACTTGGGGTCAACTTTTTGGTTAATTACTTTAATGCAATTCAATTATTTTTACAATGTTAGTAAAATAACTTTAATTATTCTTTCAATCCTCCCGTCTGATTAGTTTTCGGTTAATTAGTTCTATGCAATTCAATTTTTTCTTCTACAATGTAGTTTTAATCAGTGTTATTAAATTTAATTCAAGCCTAACATTTTAATTTGAAATCTAACTCGATTCAGATTTAGAAAAACTCAAGTGAAAGTTGACATAATCAAACCTAATCGATTAAATAAATTGGCAGTGTGTAGTATAAATAGGACCTCTATGGTTGCCCAAAGGCACATAACAAACAACAATATTCTACGTAGTACGTAGTTCATAGAATTATCTAAGATGATGATGAAAAGAATGGGGGCTTGGATGTTGCTAGCATTATTGACTTTGGTTGGCGAATGGCATGGTCGTTGTTATGGGTGTTTGCAGGAAGAGAGGATTGGTCTCTTGGAGATCCAATCTTTGGTCGACCCATATGGCGTTTACTTGAGAGATTGGGTGGACAGTAGTAATTGTTGTGAGTGGCCTAGGATCGAGTGTGATAACACTACAAGGCGAGTGGTCCGACTCTCTCTCGGGGGTGCATGGGATTTCCGCTTGGGCGATTGGGTTCTCAACGGATCTTTGTTTCTGCCTTTTAAAGAATTGCAAAGTCTTGAATTGAGATGGACTGGATTGGTTGGTTGCTTGGAGAATGAAGGTTAGTTCAATGTTTCTGCACTTAATTATAATAATAAAATAAATGAAGGTTGGTTGGTTGGTGTTTAATGTCAATTATCTTGCTTTGATGATTCTCTTCCAGGCTTCGAAGTCCTATCATCAAAACTGAGGGAACTTGGCCTAAGTGATAACGGATTTAATAAAAATGATAAAAGCATTTTGTCATGTTTCAATGGTAACCTTTCCACTCTCGAGTCTTTGGATCTATCAGGCAATCGGTTGACAGCTGGATCAGGAGGTAGCTTCTATGGGAACCTTTTAATTATTTAGCTTCGAAACATTTTTTTCCTCCTTCTCATATCATTTTTTTCTACGCATTTAATTATTTCCTTCCAATATGCTCTTGAGGAACATCATGCAACGATAGCATTCTTCCATCTCTAACTGGGTTTTCATCTCTCAAGTCTTTGGATCTTTCAGTGAATCAGCTGACAGGATCAGGTATAATACACAGTTTCTACCTACCTAAATGCTTCACATGACATTCTCTTAATTATATTGTTTCTTTATCAACAAAAATGAGGACTTTATATCTACGTAAAGAGGCACTTGGAATGAGGTCCAAGAGGCATATATTTTATTCTTATTTTGGCCCTTTTATGCCAAAAGTGTTGTAATATTTAGATTAAATTAGCAATCAGAAGTTCACTTCAAAACTCTCCTATAAATATATATTTTATATTGATCTTTTTAAATAAATATATTTTTATATATGTTTTTTATCTATATATTTTTTATATATCATCAAAACTGAGCAATCTTTACCTGGATTAACCGATTTAATAATGATAAAAGCATTTTGTCATGTTTCAATGGGCTTTCCACTCTCAAGTCTTTGGATCTATCATATAATATGTTGACAGGATCAGGTAACCTTTTAGTTATTTAGCTTCGAAACCTTTCCTTTTCTTCTTCTTATATCATTTCTATGCTCTTCATCATGCAGGTCTCGAAGTCTTGTCATCAAGGTTGAAAAAGCTGGAGAACCTTGATCTATGGGGGAATCAATGCAACGATAGCATTCTTCCATCTCTAACTGGGTTTTCATCTCTCAAGTCTTTGGATCTGTCGTACAATGAGTTGACAGGATCAGGTATAATACACAGTTTCTACCTACCTAAATGCTTCGCATGACATTCTCTTAATTATATTGTTTCTTTATCAACAAAAATGAGGACTTCATACCCGAGTTCCAGGTCCATTTTATCACAACCCGATTATATTATTTAAAACTAGTAAAACCAAATAATTATTCAAAACTTCTCAATGATAATTAAAACAAGAACAATAATCAATAATATTCATTATATTATCATAAAAAATAAGGACTTTATATCTATGCAATGATCAATTTAAATTTTTTTTTTTCTCAATAAGATCAGATCAGAATCAGATTAAAAATTAGATTATCATATTTTAATGAACAACTCTCTTGCAGGTTTTGAGATCTATCATATAATATGTTGACAGGATCATTTCTATGCTCTTCATCATGCAGGTCTCGAAGTCTTGTCATCACGGTTGAAAAAGCTGCAGAACCTTCATCTAGGGTCGAATCAATACGACGATAGCATTCTTCCATCTCTAACTGGGTTTTCATCCCTCAAGTCTTTGGATCTGTCGTACAATGAGTTGACAGGATCAGGTATAATACACAGTTTCTACCTACCTAAATGCTTCACATGACATTCTCTTAATTATATTGTTTCTTTATCAACAAAAATGAGGACTTTATATCTACGTAAAGAGGCACTTGGAATGAGGTCCAAGAGGCATATATTTTATTCTTATTTTGGCCCTTTTATGCCAAAAGTGTTGTAATATTTAGATTAAATTAGCAATCAGAAGTTCACTTCAAAACTCTCCTATAAATATATATTTTATATTGATCTTTTTAAATAAATATATTTTTATATATGTTTTTTATCTATATATTTTTTATATATCATCAAAACTGAGCAATCTTTACCTGGATTAACCGATTTAATAATGATAAAAGCATTTTGTCATGTTTCAATGGGCTTTCCACTCTCAAGTCTTTGGATCTACCATATAATATGTTGACAGGATCAGGTAACCTTTTAGTTATTTAGCTTCGAAACCTTTCCTTTTCTTCTTCTTATATCATTTCTATGCTCTTCATCATGCAGGTCTCGAAGTCTTGTCATCAAGGTTGAAAAAGCTGGAGAACCTTGACCTGGGTTGGAATCAATACAACGATAGCATTTTTCCATCTCTAACTGGGTTTTCATCCCTCAAGTCTTTGGATCTGTCGTACAATGAGTTAACAGGATCAGGTATAATACACAGTTTCTACCTACCTAAATGCTTCACATGACATTCTCTTAATTATATTGTTTCTTTATCAACAAAAATGAGGACTTTATATCTACGTAAAGAGGCACTTGGAATGAGGTCCAAGAGGCATATATTTTATTCTTATTTTGGCCCTTTTATGCCAAAAGTGTTGTAATATTTAGATTAAATTAGCAATCAGAAGTTCACTTCAAAACTCTCCTATAAATATATATTTTATATTTATCTTTTTAAATAAATATATTTTTATATATGTTTTTTCTGTCTTGAGATACTTAGTCGAACACAGCTTAAGTTTTTTTTTTTTAATGCATTCGAGTTTTAATGGTTTTGAATATTATAATTAAGAAAATTGTAAGTATTAAAACTTGGATCTTAACATCAATTAAAAAAAAAAAACTATCCAGTACAAATCACTAGACAGCCAACGAGAGGGGCAGTTAGCATCTTACAGAGGCAGTTAGGAGCGAATTAAGTTACTATCCAATATTCATGTAGTTTTTGAAACTATCATAACTAATTAATTAGTCTTGCAAAATTAGGCTAACTAATTAGTTTTGCAAAATTAGGCTATCTAGGATCGATAATTATTCTTGTTTTAATTACCGATGAGATCTTAATTACAAGTTTCTTTTATCTTGTTTTGTAAGTCTGTCCATAACTTAGCTTCCATCTTTTTATGTATAATTTGAGAATCATATATCAATTGAACAACAGCATCTCATCAATTCTAATTATCTTTGGTTTCTATCTATTATGCATATCGTGAGCTCATAATTATGACTTACTCTTAGAAACATTAACTCTCTTGCAGGTTTTGAGATCATATCATCACATTTGGGGAAACTCGAGAACCTGGACCTGAGCTATAATAATAGATTCAACGACAGCGTTTTATCACATCTGCGTGGGCTTTCTTCTCTCAAGTCTTTAAATTTATCAGGCAATATGTTGCTAGGATCGCCGCCGACTGTCAATGGTAAAGTTGTGAATATCTCTTGGCATCTTCTATTATTTACTTCATTTTTTAACAATACATTTTGAAATCTCTGGATTTTTCAGGCAATTTGTTGTTTCTATCCAAAAATCATCTCCCTCTTCAATATCAGTTCTTTATCATAGGTTTAAAAACTCGATCAAGATAACACTTAATTTCACTACTTACTTGATTGCCTGTTCTCAATTCTACACGTCATAGGTTTAAGGAAGCTGGACTTCCTGCAGTCATAGTTTAGTTTCTTAAAATCTTTAATGAATAATAATGGCACATGGCTACTCTGTACCACCATTATTTTCACCATATCTCTTCTTCTTTCTTTTTCACAGGGACTTTCTTCAATTCTAGCACCCTTGAAGAATTGCATCTAGATTATACTTCTCTCCCAATAAACTTTCTCCAGAACATTGGAGCATTGCCTGCTCTTAAAGTTTTGTCTGTTGCTGAATGTGACCTCCATGGCACCCTACCCGCTCAAGGTAAATTAACAACTCTCCATCTGCCTATAATTACATCATCAATAAAAGATTCTTTCAACATTGTTTTGATTGTTTCAAGGTAAATTGTATAGGTTGGTGTGAATTGAAGAATTTGAAGCAGTTAGATCTTGCTAGAAATAATTTTGGAGGTTCACTCCCAGATTGTTTGGGGAACTTGTCATCTCTACAACTATTAGATGTTTCTGATAACCAGTTTACTGGAAATATTGCCTCTAGTCCTCTTACCAACCTCATATCCCTTGAATTCCTCTCACTATCAAATAACCTCTTTGAAGTTTCTGCTTCAATGAAGCCTTTAATGAACCACTCAAGCCTCAAGTTCTTCTCCAGTGAGAACAACAGACTAGTAACGGAACCTGCTGCCTTTGATAATTTGATTCCAAAGTTCCAACTAGTTTTTTTCTGCTTGTCAAGTAATCCAACATCGGAAGCACTCAATGTAGAAATTCCCGACTTCCTCTATTACCAATACGACTTAAGAGTCCTTGATCTCTCCCACAACAACATCACCGGAATGTTTCCATCGTGGTTGCTTAAGAACAATACACGAATGGAGCAACTATATCTGAGCGAGAACTCCTTTGTTGGTACTTTGCAGTTGCTAGATCACCCATATCCGAATATGGCCGAATTAGATATATCCACCAACAACATGAATGGTCAAATTCCAAAAGATATTTGTTTGATCTTTCCAAATATGTGGATCTTAATGATGGCTAAGAATGAATTCACAGGTTATATTCCTTCTTGTTTAGGAAATATTAGCTCTCTTTCATTTTTAGATTTATCCAACAATCAATTGTCTACAGTAAAACTAGAACAACTAACAACAATAGAGGTTCTCAAGCTGTCAAACAACAATTTGGGTGGGCAATTACCGACCTCGGTGTTCAATTCTTCTGGCCTGTCTTCTCTCTACCTAAGTCATAACAATTTTTGGGGTCAGATATCAGATATTCCATTATGTGGGTGGAAAGAGTGGAATGTATTGGATTTGAGTAACAATCAATTTTCAGGCATGTTCCAAGGAGCTTCGTTAATTTTACGAGACTTGGAGCAATTGATTTTTCCAAAAACCATTTTAAGGGTCCGATTCCAAGAGACTTTTGTAAGTTTGACCAGCTTGAATATTTGGACCTTTCTGAGAACAACTTGTCTGGAAATATGCCATCTTGTTTCAATGCACCACAAATAACCCATATTCATCTATCCAAAAATAGATTGAGCGGTCCATTAACAAATGGATTTTATAATAGCTCTTCCCTGGTTACAATGGATCTTCGAGATAACACCTTCACCAGCTCCATTCCAAATTGGATTGGCAATCTTTCATCACTGAGTGTTCTTCTTCTGAGGGATAATATCTTTGATGGTGAGCTCCCTGTTCAGTTATGCTTGTTAGAACACTTAAGCATTTTGGATGTTTCACAAAACCAGCTCTCTGGTCCACTACCCACCTGTTTGGGCAATCTTACTTTCAAGGAAAGTTCCCATAAAGCAATAGTGGATTTCCAATATCGTTTTGGATCAACGTCCATAGAAAAAGCTTATTATGAAACAATGGGTCCACCGCTAGTGGGTAGCATGTACAGCTTGGAAAGGGGTTTTTTACTTAACTTCACAGAAGAAGTGACAGAATTTAGAACTAAAAATATGTATTATGAGTACAAGGGGAAAGTTCTCAGCTACATGTCTGGTATTGATCTCTCCAATAACAACTTCATAGGAGCAATCCCACCAGAATTTGGAAACTTAAGTAAGATACTGTCATTAAACTTATCACACAACAATTTCACTGGATCTATCCCTGCAACATTCTCAAACCTAAAGCATATTGAGAGTTTGGATCTTTCTTACAACAACTTGAATGGTGTCATCCCTCCACAACTTACTGAAATTACCACACTGGAAGTTTTTAGTGTGGCACACAATAACTTGTCAGGTAGGACACCTGAGAGAAAATATCAATTTGGGACCTTTGACGATGAAAACAGTTACGAAGGAAATCCTTTCTTGTGTGGACCTCCATTACGAAACAATTGTAGTGAGGAAGCAGAGCCGTCACAGCCAGTGCCTAATGATGAACAAGGAGATGATGGTTTCATAGATATGGAGTTCTTCTACATCAGTTTCAGTGTATGTTACATAGTTGTGGTGATGACCATTGCAGCAGTTCTCTACATCAATCCACATTGGCGACACAGGTGGTTGTTCTTCATCGAAGACTGCATTGATACTTGCTACTATTTTGTGGTGGATAGTTTCCGCAAGTTCTCCAACTTCAGAAGGTGAATTCTTCAGAAGGTGAATTTGTTACAGGGAGACGGTCGTTCCTAGTTTGTGATGATTGTTTGTCTAGCTATTGGTAATTTGTAGTGTACTGCCTCTAAGCTCAGCCTTTCTATTTGATTAGTTATTCGGGCTAAATATATAAGCTGGACTTCTCATTCCTGAATCATTAGGAAGGAAACTGATTTGGATTGGTCATTGACTCGGGTGTGATTACTCTTTCAACTCTCAAGACTTGTATGAAAATAAATTGCCAAAACCACTACTGAAGTATAAACAAAATATTCTATGCCTTTGTTTCAAGGGCGACCCCACCTCAGTTATTCAATCGAAGCATTGAAATCGGAGCAAGAAGATCCACCTTCTTCATCAGCCTTCCTGGCTGTTTCTTTGCTCTGCTACTCATTTCCTCTGCTTCTTCACCCATCATAATTTGAGTGATTGCCTTCTCTACATTCACTTTGAACATGATCTCCATGCACTCTAAGCCATTCCTTAACTCCAGTTTTTAAAACATCAGTCACCAACTTTTCATTATAGAAATGCTCAGCAAATATTGGTCTCTAAGCACCAAAAAATAAATTGTCCTTATCAACAACCATTCTTATTCCCGTTTTAACACTCTCCTAAGCACAAAATAAATTGTCCTTATCAAACATGCAGCTATGACTTGAGACATTCAGAATTTCAACCTCATTTTCTATAAAATTCAACAATACTGGAAATGGTCATGATTCAATGGAATAAGTCCCACTTATTTTCTTGAAACCTTTCTTCCATTGAAATCTTGCAAGACTATGGCATACATGAACTCCATCTAATGAACAGTAAATCACAGAAATTACCTTCTCATAGATCTCCTCTTGCCAATCAGTGCTTTATGCATGTCCAGTCTGTGCTGTAGAATCTAGGGATGCTACAAAAATTTCAAAGCAGACAACAAAATATTTGAATTCATGTATTTTTGCGTGTTTTCCATATTCATTACTAATGCCACTAGTGGCAGCAGTGGCACATAAAGCTACCTAAAAGAGAATTGCTGACTTGAACCATTATGAGAGGTGAACAGTTGGTGCACTGCACTGTAGGGCATCGTGTGGTCACAAATGCATGTGTGATTGCAATAGTTCCAATAGCAGTGGCATTTCTAATGCCATAAGGGGAAGCAGTGGCACATAAAGCTACCAAAAAGAGCAGAACCTGGCATTTGTCTCTGAGAATTGGCAAACATAGTGTAGGGAATCCCTTGTCCCATTGAATTCCCCACTAAGTTCTGTGAAACACCAGGGATACTCTGCATGTTAGGATTGTGGACAACAGTGTTGGGGATAGTCTGGGCTACACCAGAGACAGGAGGCAGTGCCGCTTGTAAAACAGCATAACTTTGAACTCAATTAGATGCCATGCAATTCTGCATGTTCTGTGATACCAACACCTGACGTGCTTGAGACTGATCAGTGGACAATAGGATAGGGAGAAACAGCCCTTGATTCTGAACTTCAGGGGGCATACTATGGGATGTTGTTCAAGATAAAAGGCAAAAGGGAAAACCATGTCACAGAAAAAAAGAAGGCACTGAACAAGGAAGACAAATGAAACATATGCAGTTCACACATAAAGTTATGAGCGAAAAAATTGGGATGGATTTGATTCAAAGCATAAAAATGTCCTCTGACAATTTTCAGGGATGGGGGAAGAAGAGGTGGCTGAAAACAAAAATAATATGACAATTTTCAAGGTGGAGGAAAGAAAAGGAGGAGGCAGAAAACAAAAACAATCTGTAATATTCTTGCCTAACATTCATCAATTACTCAACTTTTTTATTAAAGCATGCTAAACACATAGCAATATGCCGCAATAAAATGTAAAAAAGTTTGATAACAATGCGACAAACAAAACAAAAGGGAAGATGTTTACAAATTCAATGCTCGGCTGCATTATAACCTGCTGGATCCATGGGGGCAGTGGGCATGGCATTTTGAGACCTGATCTCCATTGAAAGCATCTCCAGAGATATTTTCCGCAGATAATCAGATATCAATAACAAAACATTAGATCTCAGAGCAATCCATGTTACAAGAGGAGGAAAATGGATATATGCTCTATCATTTCATCTTTTGCGAGGATATACTTCTGTTTCCTCTCTTTTTATTTAATTATTTATGTATTGATTCACTATTTTATTTTTGCACACTTCCCTTGTCCTTGAACTTGGTCACTCTAGATAAAACACTTGTCAAGAGAATTAACAAAAACATGCGTACTCCCAATCAGCCTTGCATCCAGAATGAACGCTGAGGAAGTGTAGGCACACTACACACACATTTGTACATGCATAAATGCATGTGTATATTCATGTCAAGAGAATATCATAATTATTGAACCCTGATTCGTGGCGGTAATATAAATCTTTTCCTCAAAACGTATGGAAAATTTCTTGAGTTCTTGTAATCCCTCCTGACCAGAAAACAGAAGATGCCTCTTTAATGTCTCCATTCTGCACATGCAAATCATTACGTTTCATTTTTAATGACCAGGCAAGTATAGAGAAGTTAGCAGCAGCGAGCAAGAACCCTGAACTCATAAACCACACCAATATCAAAAATGTGTGGAATCATTAGCAAAAAGTAAAAACAAATAATGAGATAAGCAAGAGTTGGTCAAGTATTATAAGACATCAAAATACTTAGACATCCTATCCCTGTATTATTCCAAAGGTACAGATTATAGGAGTTTACTTGGACACCCTTCTGTCTAAAAATTCTAGCTACGAGCTTCATATATTAGTGACTTAGTTGCAAAGCAGGGGAGTCTCTGTGAAAACATTACAATAGCATTTAATTTGAGTAACTTCTATGCACGTGCTGTAATTGACAAAGAAAAGAAGAGAAATCCTTTCAATATATGAAAATTCAACGAGTTAACCTTATCTCACATTGCAGTATATACTCTATAGTATTCACTGACCAATTCAAGTGCCAGCAGTAGCTGTATATATGATTTTGAATGTAGAGGGGTCAACAAAACATTCAACTTTATGCTGAGAAACTAGGAAACCATGCACCATTGTGGCTAATTGATTTTTTTCTGCTGCTTTTCTACTTTAAGATCACTATCCTTTCAACCCTGTAGTGTAGAAGTTAAAACAAATGGAAGGCCCAAATCCAGCACCATTCATTTAAGTTCAGTTGCAACTCGAGTTTTAAAGTGAAACATGTATGCTCATAGCAATAGATTAACCTTGAAATTTAAAGCGGAACAAGTTTCATGCGGCCATCCAAGTGGTCATCATCAAAAGAAGAGATTACACAAGAAATTCCAACAAAAATTACTTCCCAGCACTTGATGTTCCCTCAAGTTTGCTTCTCGTGAGAAACACATGAAAAGATGAAACAAAAAGAAAAAGAAAAAAAGAAGTGTGTGATACTTGAGGTTGCCTGATGGCAATCCTGCTGATTTTAAGTAACCTTTTGCACTTCTCCTTTTCTTTCATATAAATAAAAAATTTACTATTTTGCAGCACTTGCACATACATTTTGTCCACTATTCTTTTCCGTGAGTCAGGCTGGAATTGAATTCTCCAATCAACCGTGTCCATGACAGGTTCTCCACCTGGGACAGTGGGCTAACCAAAAAGAAAAAAAAAATCATATTGCATGTTAGAATAGACCCTGAAAAGAAAGTCAGGAACGGCAAGAAGAGCAAAAGCACATCAAGAACATGAAAAATGGAATATCAGTTTATTCGGACTTGAATAGATTTAAAAAGAACTTCCATCTAATATCATGTACTTTATTAAATTATTCAGCCAAATATGGATGCATAACAAATATACACAAACATTCAGGCCAAGGTGCTAGGATCCTGGGTATTCGGCCATTCAAAGCAAATAGTGTAAATAGAAAGTGGAAAATACAAAATATCAGCAATGGATTTTTTTTAAAAGAAATAAGAAGAATACAAAACAAAGTCATGAAACGAGGCCTTTCAATCCCCAATGAATATCAGCAGACTAAATACCACAGCACAAATAGAAGATGAAGAGGCCAGAAACACTAACCCATCCCAAAGAGATTGTCTAGGATGTTCTAGTCTAGGAAAAAGACGGAGAAAACAACGAGCATTAACAATGAATATTTCATGTTATCATCAACTCTAAAGAGCAGACTGATAAGAATCAACTTAACATATTCACAGGCACGTCTTTCTTTGAATAGACAACACAATAACCCTGACCATATTAAATGCTCCACCCACAGTAGAATCGGCTGATTGCGCCTTTCTTCGAGTTGCGTTCACGAGCAGCGATTTCATCGGATCCGATTATATATCTTTTTAATTTACTTATTAAAATCGAATTTCTCTCTCTGGATAAGAATTTCTGTTAAATAAGTGAAAACGCAGACGTAAATTTTAAAAATAAAAAACATGATAGAAAAGGAAGCACCCTAGTGGGGATTTGAAGCCTTATTGGTTGAGGTGGCGGCGGTTCCCTAGAGCGGAGGAGGGAAAGA